CCTGGGGAGAGATCTCTCTCTCTAGGGAAAAAAAAAGAAAAAAAGGCTCTCTCCATCTTCTCCCCTCTCCCTCTCCCTCTCCCCTCTCCCTTCTCTCCTTCTCCCTCTCCCTCCCTTCCCTCTCTCTCTTCTCTCGCTCTCTCTCTCTCTCGCTCTCTCACCGTCTCCTCTCTCCGTCTCTCTCTCCGTCTCTCTCTCCTCGTCTCTTCTCCGTCTCTCTCTCCGTCTCTCTCTCCGTCTCTCTCTCCGTCTCTCTCTCCGTCTCTCTCTCTCTCTCTATTCTTTTTAAATAATGTTAGTTAGAAAAAAGGAGTTAATATTTTTGCGCAGGATCTTCAGGACTTTTCCAGGACACCTTCAAAAATTAGCGGCTTCTGAAGCGGTAATAAGTAAGTTAATTAATTCTCATTGCTCATTCTCGCTTGCGCTCTCGCTCTCGTGCTTTCTCTCTCTCTCTCCCTCTCTCTCTCTCTCTCTTTCTCTCCCTCTTTCTCTCTCTATTCTTTTTAAATAATGTTAGTTAGAAAAAGGAGTTAATATTTTTGCGCAGGATCTTCAGGACTTTTCCAGGACACCTTCAAAAATTAGCGGCTTCTGAAGCGGTAATAAGTAAGTTAATTAATTAAATTATTCAAAAAGGTTGCTGTGCGCCTGTAAAAAAGGCCGCTGTGCGCCTGTAAAAAAGGCTGTTGTGCGCCTATACAGAGCTGCTGTGCGCCTGTAAAAACCGGCTGCTGTGCGCGGATACAGAGTTGCTGTGCGCCTGTAAAAAACGGTTGCTGTGCGCCGATACAGAGCTGCTGTGCGCCTGTAAAAAAGGCCGCTGTGCGCCTGTAAAAAAGGCTGCTGTGCGCCTATACAGAGCTGCTGTGCGCCTGTAAAAACCGGCTGCTGTGCGCGGATACAGAGCTGCTGTGCGCCTGTAAAAAACGGTTGCTGTGCGCCGATACAGAGCTGCTGTGCGCCTGTAAAAAGAGGCTGCTGTGCGCCTGTAAAAACACAAACTGCTTGGCAATATCTAATGGCAATATACTGCGCGATTGAAAAGTGAAGCTACTGCGTACTTATATAATAAAAAATTGACGTTTATAAAAAAATATTTTGTTTACATTATATACATACAAAATGTCTGTTAAAATAAAGAAACATATGATTCTATCGTCTAAAGAAAAGATATAATTATTCAAGGTGAATGGTTAACTGACATGCATATGGAACATTTCGGTTGTTTTTTACAAAATTGTTCAGATTTTAGACCTGTCGAAACTTGGCGAGTGCAGTGTCTTGATACAATTCAACCTATGCCAATAGATAAAAAACATATACAAATATTGCATAGTTTATCGGGTCCATTCGATGGACATTGGGTATGCAGTTATTATGACACGAAAAATATATTTATTTATGATTCTTTAAATTCTAAGAAATTACATGAGCATCATAAGCAATTCTTATCAAGATTATTTCCAAAATATTTTGAAAAACGTTTTGTAAAATTTCCTACCGTTCAACGTCAACCAAATTGTAATGATTGTGGTGTTTTTGCAATAGCTTTTGCGATTTCATTATTATTTAATATTAAACCTGAAAAAGTAAGGTATGATCATAGTTTAATGCGTCTGCATTTGCTAAAAATTTTAGAAACAAATGTAATCGAGTGTTGAGAAACAGACAAATAATTTGAAGGGTAATTTCGTGTCAAATTAATTGTAAGTCAAAAATAAACGTTAGAGGTAAGAACCCGCTTTTTCAAAACAAATTTGTTATGTCCCGCCAGCGAGGCAAGGACAGCAGTTAACAATATTGATCGATAGGAGCAATCAGCCGTTGACCGCGTGATTTCGGTCCCTTCACTCGATCGGAAAACAATACCGGCCAATCGTGATTCTTCGAAAAAACGAGCGTCCCCTCCAAGAGGTCGTGTCGAAATCTCGCGCCTCGGCGAAGAACGCCCCGACTCTGAGCGTTCACTCCTCGAAAAATTGTGAAGTCAACGACATCGATAATCAGAACGACTACAGATCGGTTGAGTAATTCGAACATAACTTCTAAGACTGAACGTGTACTCGACAAATAAACTAATTTGTGATTCTGCATTCGGAGTGTTATCTCTCGAGAGTTCTCCTGTCAGCTGCTCTTTCCTTCGCGCTCTCTCTGAGCGATACCGGCGTCCGCGGTCAACGCAAAAAAGAAAAAAAGGGGAACCCACTTCGCGTACGCAACATCGAGCATTTTCCACAAGATTTACAATATAATACTCAGAAAGTCTTTCCATTGGCAGTAATAAAATTTAAAGAAATTGATGCTGCTCGTGTACGTACGAAACGTCAATATAAGACACAACAAAAATTAAAATCGAAGGAAATTTACGACATTACTCAATCTAAAAAAAATTTGAATAATGTACAATTAGAAGAAATTAAAATGGAAAGAAACAAATATAATTTCGAAAATCAAGATAAAAAAGAACAAATTTTGTATTTACAAGAAAATCAAAATCTTGAAAATAATAGTGCTAATTTAAAAAATAATTTTGATAAAATGTCGCAGCAATATGCACAAGTTTTGGAGAATAAACGCGCCAAAAAGCGACACTTATATGCACAAAATTTAGAAAATAATCGTGATAAAAAGCGACAACGATATGCACAAGATTTAGAAAATAATCGTGATAAAAAGCGACAACGATATGCACAAGATTTAGAAAATAATCGTGATAAAAAGCGACAACGATATGCACAAGATTTAGAAAATAAACAAGGTTTACAAAATAATTGTGTTAAAAATGAAAATCAACGTAATCAAGAATTTAAAATAAGCACAAAATCTGTATCTACAATAACAAAATTCAATTGTGCAAAAAAAGTTATTAAAAAATATAAAAAAATTGTATCGAAAAATTCTATAAAATTTCGTTATTCTTTAGAAATAATTATAAAAAATATTACAGAGAAACTCAATATTAAAGGTCATATTGAGAAACGACTAAAAGCCGAAAAAATCGTACGGTGGTGTATGCATATTAGGAACAATCATGTTCGCAATATATACAAATTGTTAGCTTTAATTAAAAAGAAATCAGAAGTAAGTTTGACACTTGTCGCTGAATGTTCTAAACTTGAAGAAAAAATAAATGTTTTATGTGGCGAATCTAGGCATACAGCCTCATCCGAAAATTATTTTATTGATTCCACATATCATCATGTAACTTCAAAAGAACCTTTGGATACGAAAAAAGAAATTCTAAATATATTACCGTTAATAAAAAATGTAACTTCATCAAATTCTTTGGTAATAGATACGAAAGGACGAGTTATGAATATATTACCGTTACAAGAAGAATTATTAACAAAATCTTGGTTGTGCAAAACTTCATGTAAAATTGATTCGTTTTTAATTGATCGTTATCAAAAGTTTCTGCAAACTATAGATAACTGTACTTTAAAGAATGTACCAGAATAGATAAAAAATATTCATGAATGTACTATGAAAACCACAAATGAGAAATTGGTCATACGCGTAGCTGTCATATTGATTTGACACTTTGTAAAGGAATGTTTCTTCCAGTTCAATTATTATCTCCTCATTTTCCAAAAGTAAGATATATTAAGCATTTAATTTATAAAATGACTGCTTTTTATCAAAAGATTAAAAATCTCGATAAAGCATTAATTCATGCTGATTTAAACGCATTGAATGAAATTGTGACTTGTGCACAAGAAAAAACAGATATGTACAAACATCAACAGACAGATACAATTCTGAGTGATGATGATATTTTTTCTAAATATCATGAAGCATTTAAAGCTTTAACTAAACGTTCTGAAGACACACCACGGCATATTTGCGTATCATGTGAAAGATTGTGTTATCAAAGAAGTTTGTTTAAAGTTAGTAATATTCAAGCACAAATAGACAATCAAATTTGGAGAGATTTAATGGCACATATTTAACAACACAAAATTAATGCAGAATATATATGTAATTATTGTGCAGGCAAATTTCGTAAAGGTCTATTACCTGCATATTGCATCTTGAATAATCTCATCACAAATGTTGTGCCCGAAATAATATTATTTCTTAACACATTTGAAAAAATTCTTATACAAAGAGCTAAAGCATTTCAAACTGTTCTTAAAATGGAAACTGTTATGAATAGAAAGTTGCCTCATAGGCAAATGATACAAAAAGTTAAAGGTAGAACGTTTCATTTACCACTTCCGTTACAGGAGACATTGAATAAATTATGTCATAATACTGATCCAATAAATATTAATCATGAATTATATATATTAGTTCCGGTGTTAGAGGTGTTCCGATAAAATCAAAGATTATTGGGAAGAGATGGTTAATATTAAAAAAATATTTGATGCTTTAACGTGATTAAAGCGCAACAATGCTTTATACTCTCACATTATATTGCCAATTAATCATAATGAGTTAGATTTGGAAAAGTTAGAAAATTTAGTATTCCAAGTGGAAGAGACAGAAAATGATACAGAAGCAATATTGGATGACAACTATGAATTATCAAATAATTCGATAAAAGAGACAAAAAATGATATGGAAGATTTATTAGAACAACAAAAAGCAATATTAACTCAAGTTACTGATGAAAATAATGGCTATTACGAACAATATTCTATCTATCCCTTATATGAAAAAAAGCAAATAAAACTTTGACAAGTTTATATCAAATGTTAAAAATTAAAGATCTGCCTTTAGATAATCGTGAAAAATGTTTAGATTTAATGTGTTTTTCAGATGTATACCCTTTTGGTATTAATGGACAACGTGAGATTAGACAAGTTAAACTTCATGATCATGAATTTATTAAATGTCGTTTGACATCTAAACATCCACAATATAGATTAAATCAAAAATATTTATTTTATTTGTTAAACGATGCAAATATGCGTCAATTAAGTCGTGGAATTTTTCATAAAATGAATGTAACTAATCCGCGAGTTTGTTATACAGCTGCAGAATATTTAGATGCAATGTCGAAAGAATTGTTGGAATCTAATCTGAGTACAATATTTTCGACACTTCGAAATACGGAGCAATATTGGCGTAAACCGAGAAGTGATTTAAATTGTATGACGCAGCATTATGGGCCTGCGACATGGTTTATAACACTAAGTCCGAGTGAATGGTTATGGGAAGATTTAGGTGAATATATTCGTGAAGTAAATGGATGGCATGATACTTCCTTATGTGTTAACGTACTTGTTGCTAAAGATCCTGTATCAACATCTAGGTTTCTCGATAATAAATTTAGAGCAATGCTTGACTTTATTAACTCTAAAGATCATCCAATTGGAGAAGTAACGCACTATTTCTGGCGACGAGAATATCAAGGTAGAGGAATACAACATTTTCGCATATTAATTTGGATTAAAAATGCACCTATTTTCGGTGAATCTACTATTGAAGAAGTCTCCAAATTTATCTTACAATATATAAGTTGCAAAATGCCAGATGCAAATATTTCGCCATTATTGTACAGACGTGTTAAAACGCATCAGCAACATATACATAACAATTATTGTCTTCGTTCTAAAAAAGTAGGACGTAAAGTTATTCGTCGGTGTCGTTTTGGATTTCCTCGACCCGTTACTGAAACTTTAAATATGAGAGATGTGGCAACTTCGATAGCCGGTAGAAAACAATTAAAACATAAAAGTAGACTTTATGATCTTCCTCGAATGGATAATGCAGTTAATATAAATGATTATAATCCTGTTATTCTTACTGCATGGGAAGGTAATATGGATATACAATTTATTGGTGAAAAATCATCGCTGCTTACCTGGTACATTACTAAATATATTAATAAAGCGGGAAAAAGTGAACTGTCTGATACTATCCTTAGTAAGAATGAAAATAAATCATTAGCGAGTTATCTTTGGAATATTGCTTTGCGATTTACAAATAATAGAGAATGTGGAGCTCTTGAAGCTGCTGATACATTGCTAGGTATTTCTTTATATGGAACTGATCGAAATACAACTATCAAATGGTTAGATGTTAATCAAATACGATATAGAAAATTAAAAAGCTCCAAAGAAATTGAAGCTCTTGATGCTGAATCTACAGATATATTTTATCCATCTATGATAGATAATCATTATCCACATAAACCAAATAAATTAGAAAATATGTCTCTTTATGAATTTGCACAGTGGTACGATATTTCGAAAATCAAACCGAAAAATGAAGATATTGAATATTATAAAATGAGTAATGGTTATTATCTTAAACGGCGACAACGTGGATATCTTATAAATCATTATAGAAATGATATTAATACACATCCGGAAAATTATTTCTTTGTATTATTGCTGATGTTTAAACCATGGCGAAAATTAGAAGATCTTAGAAATGAATGCAATACTTATGCTGAATCATTTCATAAAATAAAACTGCATCTTGTAGAAGCATTGCAATATCATGAAAGATTAGAAGAATTGCAAAAAGCATTTGAAACTGCAAAACAGTTAGTTCAACAATATCTAGATGACAATTTAGAAAAACAACAGTCTCAGGATGATCCTGAAAATCCAATTGGTGTTCAAAATATAAAGGCTGGTGAAGCAATGCAAGATTTTAAAGAGCTTGGTGATAAAGAAATTAGAGAAATTGATGTATCTGAAATGATAGAAAAATTAAATATGGATCAAAAACGAGTATTCAATAAAGTTATTAATACTATAGAATCTGATAAATCGGTATTACGATTATATGTTACCGGAGAAGGTGGTACTGGAAAAAGTTTCTTAATCAAGATTATTAAATGTTGGATAAAACAAAATCTCAACAAAGATACTGCTGTAGCAGCACCTACTGGTATTGCAGCATTTAATGTAGATGGATTGACAATTCATAGATTGCTTCAATTACCAATTGAACATGGTCATACCCCTAAATATAAACAACTATCTGATCATGTATTAAAACTTTTACGAGCAAATCTTAAAGATGTTATTTTTTTGTAATCAATGAAGTGTCAATGATATCTAATTTGACTTTAATGTATATACATCTTCGATTATCTGAAATATTTGACACTAGTGATTATGATGATGGTTGGTTTGGTCGAAAGCATATTCTTTTATTCGGAGACTTACTTCAATTACCTCCCGTACACGAAGAGCCTATCTTTATGCATTTATCAAATGAAAAATTGCCAAACATCTTGGTTCCTTAAATGCTATTAATTTATGGACTACATTATTTAACTACGAAGAATTGACAATTAATATGCGTCAACAAGGCGATAATTCTTACCGTGAGTTATTGTCGCGAATTCGTATTGGATTAGTAACAAAATCAGATTGTAAAATTTTAGAAAATAGAAAAATATCTTTTAAAGGTGAATCTTTCGAATCTAGATTAAATGAGTTATGTGATTTTATTAATAATAATTTAACATCAGACACTGTTTGTTTATTGCCTACTTGTAATATGTGTGATATTCTTAATAATGCAATGTTAAGTCGTATTGTTTCAAAAGAAATATTATTAATTGCTGAAGACACGATTAATTGTGTTCCATATTTAAAAAAGAAAGCATTAAAAGTATTGTCAAATAACGATGATGATAATTCAAAAACAGCTGGACTTTCAAAACAAATTAAAATTAAAATTGGAGCAAAAGTTATGATTTGACATAATATCGATGCTAGTTTAGGTCTTGTAAACGGTACAATTGTTAAAGTAATTTCAATTGTACAAGATACATCTACTGATTACGTAGAAAAGATTAAACTTCTTTTACCATCAGGTTCAGAATATGAAATTGAAAGAGTAAGTGTTAAATTTGAAGTGGTAGATAGAGTGTATGTTATTAGAAAACAATTTCCATTATCTTTGAGTTATGGTATCACTATTCATAAAAGTCAAGGATTGAGTTTGCGAAGTGCAATTATGGACATCGGTAACTCTGTATTTAGTTGTGGTCAAATTTATGTTGCATTATCACGAGTAACATCTCTAGAAGGATTACATTTAATTAATTACGATCCTTCATCAGTAATAGCTAGCGAAAAAGCTATTATTGAATATAATCGTTTAAAACAGATACACAATCAAAATGCAGAAATGATTACTATGACAAAAGAACGCTATCGTAAAGTAAAAGATGTTTTATGGGCGTTACCAAAAATAATTACTTCTGTTCAAAAATCAAGTTCAGATCAAACAGTTCGACGAAATATTGCTTAGATCATACGTGGTTTCCAAAATACAGACAAAGTTTCATGCTATGCAAATGCAGTATTACAATGTTTATTACATTTAAATGTCATTAAGCAACAATTATTTAATTGCGATAAATCAGATGTTTTACGTATATTAATGCATCGATATGAATATGGAATGTCTAATTTAAATACATTTACAGTACGACAATGTTTAGGAGAATATTTTTCGAACACCGCAAAACGAAATGCATTCCATTTTCTTACGACTCTTTGCGAAAAATATGATTGTATAAGAAATTTAATAGAACATCAAGTTACTTCTACTAAACGATGCAAAATTTGTGGTAATACTAAAATTACTGTTGAAAAGAATATTGCTATTTCAATTCCTATTAATAATTTGAAAAAGAAAAGTTATAATCTAAATGATTTATTAAATGTTACGACTTCACACTGGAAAGAATCACACAATGAATCATGTGAACGTTGTATTGGAAATGATATAATATTTAAAAATGAAATATCATTGGCAAAAGAGATAGTTGTAATTCATTTAACAGTATTTTCACAAAATGATAAATTAATGAAAGCAACACAAAAATTAAATCTATGTGCTGTTCCAACAAATAAAGTATTAATAGCTGGACAGTTATATAAGACGATGAGTGCTATATTTTATCATGATTCGTGTATTGATAAAGGTCATTATATAAGTATGTGTAGAGAAGGAGTATCTAACATTTGGGTCGAAGTTGATGATGCGCTAATTAAAAAAAAACAGTGGCCTAGAGGTGCTAAAAATATTTATATAATATTTTTACAAAAGATGGCTAATAAATAATATATATAGCATATGAAATAATGACGAGGATGATGGCGGATTCTTTGCTTTCTTATTTTAAATTATAAAAAATATATGATATGTACTACAAAAAGGAATGATATCCATAAAAAAATACCTTTTTTAAAAAAAGGTAAAAAAGGGCGCCAAGTTTACGCGTCATGTGTTAAAGTGTTTTATAAAAAAAATAAAACTTTTATGTGTTGTAAAATTAATTTTATAAAAAATATAAAACTTTTATGTTGTAAAATTAATTTTAGAAAAAATATAAAACTTTTATGTTGTAAAATTAATTTATAAAAAATATAAAACTTTTATATTGTAATTTACTTAAAAAATTACATCATTATAATAACTGGAAATAAATAAATAAATAAATAAATAAACTGAAACATAAATGTACATACAGAGTACGTTAATATTATTAGCACATTGTTTAATTTAGCAGCGCCAAGTTTTTTTAACTAAAATTTTTACGTTCGCCTTTACCATCCATACGGAACGTTTTACTTGACACAGTACTTATATAGAAATGTGTATAATGTAAAAACTCAATTATATATTGTATTAAAGAATTTGTAAGACTTGAGATAAGGACCTAAACTTACTCGAAACGTTGTCTTTTATTGTATATGACATCGAATTAATAATAATAATAAATTTAAGCCAGTTGGGTCGTCTCACAGTTATTATTTTAAAATTTTTTAATTTTTTAATTTTGTATTAATTTTTTAATTTTTGCATAAGTTTCTAATTTTCAATTTTTTTATAAATATTTATTCATTTGGCGCAACTTTTAGATATCATTTTTTTTTTTAGAAATATTAATTTTACAACATAAAAGTTTTATATTTTTTATAAAATTAATTTTACAACATAAAAGTTTTATATTTTTTATAAATTAATTTTACAACATAAAAGTTTTATATTTTTATAAAATTAATTTTACAACATAAAAGTTTTATATTTTTATAAAATTAATTTTACAACATAAAAGTTTTATATTTTTATAAAATTAATTTTACAACATAAAAGTTTATATTTTTTATAAATTAATTTTACAACATAAAAGTTTTATATTTTTTATAAAATTAATTTTACAACATAAAAGTTTTATATTTTTTATAAAATTAATTTTACAACATAAAAGTTTTATATTTTTTATAAAATTAATTTTACAACATAAAAGTTTTATTTTTTTTATAAAACACTTTAACACATGACGCGTAAACTTGGCGCCCTTTTTTTACCTTTTTTTTAAAAAATATAGTAGACAAAGCGCAAACATAAACATTTTAATAAATTTAAAAATTTGCTATTTCTTCTAGAATGCCAAAGTATAAGCGTTGTCAAGCAATTCAGTGTCTGTATTATTATTTATACCATGCTTTTGTTCCTTTATGTGTATCATCTCCGAGATAAGTCTTTTAAGTCTTTTAATTCGACTCAATATCAAGTATTTTAACGTTATCCCAATCAAAAACATGTTTTTTTATTTATAATATGTTCTGAGATCACCGAATGCTTGGAAGAATCAAATTTTATGTTATTAGTATATTCTTTTAATTTAGTACGTAATTGTCTTTTGGTTTACCCCACATAAGAAATCTCACAGTCTTTACAATTAATTTTGTAGACGACATTATTATTATTGTTATAGATGTTTTTGTCCTTGTCCCTACCAGCACACGAATGACGAGAGAACGTTCGGTAAACGATCGAACCTGTTCTGTTTTACTGTTCGAAAACAGTTCGGTTATGCCACCACAAGAACGTCCGTTTGACGTTTGCGTTTAATTAAAAAACAGCAATTTTACTGTTTATTAAAAGTATATAATAGTTGTCTGATGAGTTTATAAAAGCCGAAGATACTCAATTATTCCGAATGATTTTGGCGTTTAGGTGACAAACGAGATGATCCGCAGAGTATCTTCGGCGATCGCCGCTCAGCGATTTTCGTTTGGTTGGTTTGGCAAGTGCACGATTATGCGCTTTCCAAACGAAAATTTGTTCACCAAACGTTCACTCGCCGTTTATGTGCTGGTAAGGGTGAACCCTAAATTTATTAAGATTATTAAGACAAGGGAAACCCATTTTAAAATTTGCTTTTTAATTGATGCTGTTTCAGAAATATTATTAATATAGGGGATGACAAAAAACTTTTTACTCTTTTTCTCTGTAATATCTTTTATTCTTTTATTATTAAGATAAAAATGGTGCAACATTTTTATTCTCCTATTGATTTCTTTAAAAATTAAATAAATGCATATAACGGTAATCGTTATCCAATAAAATGTCAATACAATGTTCCACATTTCTCTTGTGATATAGGGGATGAGACAATAGTATTGTTCTATCGATAAGATTATAAATTATTATCTTATGGCACATGGGATGATTCGATAAGAAAGATAGTACTCCACCTGAACAAATCTTTTTTTGAAACCAATTTATGTGTATGACGTTATCAATGATTCTAATATTTAGATCTAAAAAACTAATGCTTCTCTCAATTTCATATTCAACCGTAAATTGCAATCGTTGATGGTAACTATTAAACTTGTTCAAAATATTATCTACTTTATTTCTTGGCGCCACCATAATAATGTCATCCACATATCTATGATAAATTACAATATTGATATCCAATGTATTAAACTATTTAAATTACTCTTTAAAAGAATCCTAAAAAACCGTATGTTTTAGGGTAGAGCGAGGCTAGTTAAGCAACTTTTTCTTTGATGTCTTATAAAAATTTATTTATTTATAATATGTAAATATGATATTTTAAATCGGCCAATAGAGCCCAAGCGCGAAAAATTAATTCTTCGGAACTGTATCTCTTGATTTGAGATTACTAAATTCCATATATAAATTAATCTCAAACTTACATATAGAGAAACCAGCCTTTTCGGTCCGCGCAAAGCGCGGGCCTTAAAGCCTAGTTTCCCAACCCCGCTATTATTATAGTTTTCACACAATTTTTCATTTTACAAAACCTCTTTGTATATAACATTTGTCGTAAAAGATTTCCAATTTCCTTTAATGTTGCAAATTTTTTGGGATGTGCGACAATGTGGTTTTTAAGTACTCTTTAGACTTTTTAAGTCTGTCTGTATGTCTGTCTGTCTGACCGCGAACTACTTACACATTTATGTACTGATTTTCGTGAAACAGATACTAAAATTTTTTTATTTTTTATTATTTTTTTTTAATTTTTCGGTTCATAAATATGCGATTGCGTGGGTGGGTACGTGGGTGATGAGTGGGTGGATGCGTGAGTACTGGTGTAAAAATTAAAAAACCATATCGTCACCATCTTTGAAAAATATTTTCATGCAATCAATAAATTTGTGAATGCGTGGGTGGGTACGTGGGTAGATGGAAACTTAAGAAAAAACTACATCGCTACACTTTCTAAAAAAATTGCAAAATTTTGGTACCAATTTCGAAAAAATCAGTCCATAAATATGCAATTGCGTGAGTAGAGGTTTAAAAATTAAAAAACCATATTATCACCATTCTTAAAAAATTTATAAAATTTTACTATCAATTTCTAAAACATCGATCAATAAATTTGTGAATGCTAGGTGGGTGAAAACTTAAAAAAACCACAACGTCACACTCCCCGAAAAAAATTTAAAACCATATCGTTACCATTCTTAAAAAGTTTTGAAAATTTTATTATCAATTTTGAAAACATCGATCAATTTAGTGAATGCGTGGGTAGGTGAAAACTTAAAAAAAGAACCACATCGTCACACTCCTCGAAAAATTTGCAACATTTTAGTATCAATTTCGAAAAATCGATCCATAAATATGCAATTGCTTGAGTGAGTGCGTGGGTGGGGATGTAAAACTTAAAAAAAACCACGTAATATCTATCCCTGAAAAATTTGCAACATTTTGGTATCTGTTTCACGAAAATCGGTTCATAAATGTGATAGTAGTTCACGACAGTTCAGACAGACATACAGACAGACGGTGCATATATATATATATATATATATATATATATATATATATATATATAACATATAGATAGGCGAGAAAAATATAGATTCGAAAAGTCGCTGAATCGAACCCGCGTCTTTCACTTTCCGGGTGACTGCTTTTACCAACTAAGCTATTCAGACTTTTTTTAGGTAAATGGAAAATATAGGATCGAAAGGATCTAATCA